CTTTGCAAACTCACTGGTAAGAGCAATGGGACGATAGTGGGAGGTTTCATGTCCCGTAGTGCTGGTTTGCGGAAGGGAGAACAATGGCAGATTTCCACAGCTGTGGAAGAATCCTTGTGACCAATTAAGATTGTAAAGGCGAAAATAGGACTGCAAGGGCTGACTGATGTAAATGTTGTAGCATACGAATATGAATGTGTCGGGGCCCAGCTGCCGATGTTCGACAAGCTGAGAGTGTTGCCTCCAGTTCTTGAAGTGTAAAAGGCACATTATACTGTTCTTCTCTGAGAGAAGAAAGCCCAAAAGGGTGCTAACTCTCTGGCAGACTTTGAGGAAAGAAATGAGGGGCAAGATGGAGTCCCTGAGAAAATACGGACCAGATGATTGCCAATTTCATTGGCAACATCTAGTGGGTTTGCTATATCAACACCGGCAACCCGCAGAACAGGAGCCGGGTCAGGAGAATATTTACCACTCAGTTTTCGTACTTTTTTCCAGACTGCACTCATAGAGGAAGCAGAGGTGATGGTGGAGACATAATTCCCCAGCAAGTGCGTTTAGCGTCACGGATGACACGGCGAGCGATCGCACGCTTCTTTTTTAAAATCAAGGAGTCGCTCTGTGGTTCTTTGTACCGGAAACTGCCCCATGCAGCGCGTTTCAAACGTACTGCACGAGCACAAGCAGGAGACCACCAAGGCACGCATTTCTGAGAATGCCTGCCCGAAGTTTGGGGTATAGAATGAGAAGCTGCAGTGAAAACGGAGGACGAGAAGAGGTTTTAAAAGCTCATCGATGGAGGACGAAGAAGGAACCTCTTTAAAACAGTCAGGGTGTGAGTAAAGGTTCCAATTTGCCCGATTAAATTGCCAGCGTGGGGTGCGAAGAGGTGGCCCAATAGAAGGGGAAGTAAGAAGATTGGGAAATGATCACTGTCATGTAAGTCCGGGAGAACAGACCAAGTAAAGTCAATGCGGCGGAGGAAGAGCAAAATGAGAGATCGATGCAAGAGAGAGTATGAGTCCGAGGATCAAAATGGGTGTGAGTACCTGTATTTAAAACATGGAGGGGGTGGGTGGCAAGAAAAAGCCTCTAACTGAATTCCACGGGAAACACAGTTGGGGACCCTCCCCAGAGGAAATGGTGGGGATTAAATCACCAAGTTTAAAAGAATCGTGGCGGTAATGACGAAACAAGGGAAGGGAAAATCCGGAATAGAATAATGCCCGAGAAGGAGAGAGATATAAAGACAGAGCGTATACCACCTATGTAAGTGGATACGGGCTGCTGTGTAATGCAGCGAAGTATGAATAAATACTGATGGTACGGAATATCAGTGCGGAGAAGAAGGGCACTTTCATTAAAGGTCCCATCAGGAAAAGGATCTGAAGAATACAATAAAATTATAGCCTGAGATGTGAGAAATAACAGCAGAGTGTAATTTTGGTTCCTGTAAGCAAACACCAACAGGGGCAAACTGGGAGAGTAACATCTGAAGCTCACCCCGATTACCCCTGAGGCCGCGTATATTCCACTGTAAGAAGGCCCTGATTGGCAATGATAAAGATACTTGAAATCCGCAGGTAAGGGTTCCTACGGACTAGAAGGGTTAGAAAAGTCACATGCGGAGGCAGTGGAAAAATGTTTCAAGCAGCGAAGGAACGGTGCGCTGTGAAAAAGGAGTTGCGCAGATGGAGCAGAGGAGAGAGAAAAAGCGGAAGGTGGATCAGTGTCCATTGATGGTTTGGTCTCTGCAATATATTTAGAGATTGGGTTCAAGTGTTTCGGAATTCAGAGATGTCGTATGGGAGACATATTGGGAATGGTAGGGGGAGGATGAGTAAAAAATTGGAACTGTATTGGACTGTACCAAGGTAGGGGGGGCGAAAGGGTGGAGGGAACTGGAGAAGCGTGGCAGGGGACAGAAGAGACAGGAACCTGGAGTGGCCAGAAGAGGAAGAAACTTGGGAGGGAACAGGGGGAAGGTACATTACGAGGAGGGGGGTGAACCTCTGCACTTGTAACTGAGCCAGTGAGAGGGGAAGAACTAGGGGACAGAGAAAAGGGAGGGTAAAATGAGGGGGTGAAGATGGGTAGGAGGGGTTACCGGACCTTTTTTTGACTTTTGAGAAGTAGAGGACGATTGGGAAGAGGTGTCGTACGGGTCCCCGTCGATACTGGGCTTTTAAGAGAGAACTCGAAGAAGCGAGATTTGACTGAGGCGTTGAAGTAGGGACCCTCTGAGCCGAGGACAGCAAAAGGAATTTAGATACAGGAGTGATTATGGGAGAGGTAACCACAGAGGTGGGTTTAGAAGATGGGATACCAGAAGTGGGGGGACGTTTTGAAACACCCGGGGAAAAAGAAAAACGTGGGAGTCTCCCTTGGAGGCGGAGATGAGAACTGCCATGGCATAAGGGGGACCTTCTGTCTCTTTGAGGTAACGGATTTCCCGCTCGTTTTAAATAGACCTGACAACGGCGAGAGTACGAAGGGTGGCCTCATGACAGTTAAGGCAAGAGGGAGATCGATTGCAAGACGTGTTAGAATGGTCATCGGCACCACAGACTGGGCATTCGGCGATAGATCTGCAATATTTCGCTGGATGGCCAAATCGCCAGCAATTTCTACACTGTTGTGGTGTAGGGATCACCTTTCGAACTTGTAACCGATGTCCTGCTATATAAACGGAGGATGGGAGTTCTCGGCTGTCAAAAGTTAAACGAGCCACATTGCTAGGGTATCGTCTCCGCCCACGGGGAGGAAGAACGTAAGTGTTACCTTGAGGATTGGGAGATCTTGGAGTTCCAGCTGTTCTAGAATGTCGGGGCCACATGTCTGGAAATTTTGTTGAAAATATGGTATGGGCGAATAACGGTACCACTACAAGAATTGAGGGAATGATGTTTTTCAAGGGTGACAGGAACAGAATCTATATGGGAAAGACGAGAGAGCTCACGAGCCTGGGTAGCATTCTGTACGGTAATGATGCGCGTACCGCTCTTAAGAGCATGAAAAGAAATATCTTTACCAAAATGGCGTAGGAGTGGGCCTTGCCAATACTATGGTCAGAAAGATAGGCAGTAGAGGAGTTGGTCGTAAAGTGAAGAATTTTTGTCCAAATGTTTCAGTCTGAAACTGAGCGTGGAAAGGTAGTGAAGGACGTGTCCCATCGTTTCTGAGAAGAACGAGAAGGTGAAGGTGGAGAATATCATCAGCAGGTAATTGTCGTTTTACGTTTAGGCGTGGGACCAGAGTTGGTCCGACGTGGAACGGGTCGGCGGGTTTGAAAATTGCCCCACCGTTTGAGGGAGAGGCCGGAAGCATAGTCAGAGGAGAGCGAAGGTCTGATAAATCGAAGGAGTCAGTCGAGCCTCAGTACCTGAACGGATGAGGAAACAGCACCGGCAATAGGTTACAGAGGCAAAGAGGAATGTCTGAAGAGTGGCCAAAGACGAGGCGGGTCAGAACGGGGTGCGGTATCAAGAAGGGGCCCGGGGGGGGTACCAGGTTCATGGACTAGGGCTGCCATGTTAGGTTACTTCTTTCTTTTTGTTTTTAAAAAAAAAAAAGAAAGAAAAGAAAATAAAAATAAAAAAAAAAAAAAAAGGGGGGACCGGGAGGGATAGTTCCTAGGAGGAAAGAAAGGGCCAAAATCTCCCTCCGCGCCAAGAGGACTCGACACCGCTAGTTCGCGAAAATGCAGCATGGAACCCGTGCCATACCCTACCCTTCATGCCAGTAAACCAGCAATCTGGGATAGCAACCTCACATCTGCCGAGCTACCTCGGTGGACAAAAGAGGGGGGGCGGCCCCGGATATCCGCCACAAAGCATACCTCCTTCAGCCACCACCCCCGGAATCCGAAAGGTGGCTTCCAGAGATACACCGTCGCCCAAAAGACACCCAAAGCTACTCCGGGGTACCGGAGAGGGATCGGGACATCCCTAGGCAATCCAGATTCCACGGCAAACTACGCCACCGCCAAGAAACCTCAACGGAATGGGATGGACCCCGGTGTCCTTTCCCCTACCTAGGAACTAGCGCGCCTGTGGGAGAAATCACGAAGGCTAAAAAGAGGAAGGGCAAAAGGGAGGGGTGAGGAGGAGGAGGAGGAATGGAAAAAGGGGAGGATGGGGAGGATGGGATAGGGGAGGGGAGAATGGGGGGTAATTAGGTTCGGTCTGAGGAAGAAGACCGACAGGGCTAATTCCTCAGACCAAGAGCCTCTTCACCACGCCAAGGAGCCCCCCTTGAAGAGGTATTATAATAATAATAATAATAATAATAATAATAATAATAATAAATGTTTATAAATTAAAACGAAATCTTTTGGGTTGCAAAATTAACTGTAGGAACAAAGATTGCCTAAATCTTAGTTTCTTGCCAGCATCAGTCCACATTAACAAAAAACAGACTCTGGCATTCTCACTGGCTCACTTCACAACAAAAGGCTGCACAAACGAGTCTGTATAGTTGATCTTGGCACACTGTTGTAGTGTGAAACATTCATAAACTCTGAGCCAGCAAGACCTTGTGTCGTACACCTGTGACCACTCGTGCAGCTCATCCACGGAGCAATGGTGGCTCCCTGATCAGCTAGGCTTGAGATAATAACTGTTTAAGGCTTACTAATCTGTCACCCATTTAACTGATTTAGCAACAGTGAAATACTGTCTTAAGACTGGCTGCAGGATTGCACTAAACATCTAAGTAGAAGGACTCTTGTCAGATGACCAAAATTTCCAGTGGTGGGTCATCATACAACTAAGACCCGCGTCAGGAAATATTTGTCCTGTTGCCTGACAAAGCTAACTTAACCTAACCTAACCTAACTTAACCTAATAAATATCCAAGAAGATCCCTTTAACACGAACATCTTGCCTTCTAGATTTCATTTTTTTTTTATTTTTATTGGTTGCTGTAAGAATATTTTGAACTCATTTTTCATTGGCTAGTAAATATCTGTCTGTACAGTAATACTTAATGTAATTTTTTAGCATCAAGGAAGGTGTACAGGAGATAAAAAACCAGAGACGGAAGCTGCTACCTATTGTGACGTCACAGGAGTCAGATGAACACCTCGGTACAATATCATCCTCGGTAAATATCCATATTTAGTATAATGTATGTACAGTATACAGTACCGACGAGATGAAGAATTAGACATGTGCAGCATCCGGGCATCTTGTAGACGTTTCACTATCCAGTGGCTTTTTCAGTACAAGGACATAATGTGAAGACAGTAGAACTACGTATATGCAAAAGATGAGGTAATCAGTCCCTCAGCTGAGGGACTGATTACCCCATTTTTTGTATATAGTTCTACAGTCTTCCCATTATGTCCTTGTACTAATAGTCACTGGATGGTGAAACGTCTACAAGTAAAGACACCAGATGTTACACATGTGTCTAATTCCTCACTATTATGTATAATTAGTTTTCATTTAATTACCCGAGAGGAAAGTATTATTAAAGTTACTGGGAAGCGTTAAATTCACATGGGCATGCAGCGTCCGGCGAATGAGAGGTAATTGGGTTTCATCCAAGGGGAAAAAATACCCTCCAATTCCCTGGATCAGAGTCCTTTACCAGCACTAAGGTAAGCCCTTTTAAAAGTCAAGGTACTAAATTTGCTTTAGATTTTATATAATTCATAATTTGATCTTAGTATATATTCAATATAAAGGATGAATGCAAAAAAAAAAATTTTCAGTTCGTATATGGTGAATATATCAGAGTATATTTTCTGTCAAACTTTAATATATACTACAGGGTGTCCAAAAGTGTCCATAATAGGGTAATTTTTAAAATTTAGCAAAACCTAACTTTACAGAATATTTCTGCATGGTTTTCCATTTTTTTTGTCAGCACAGTTGGATGCGCCTCTCGTAGTAAGTTTGGCAACAGTGTTGTGTGTGTGTGATGTGCTTGCCACGTCATTGTCGTGTGTGATGTGCTTGCCACGTCAGTGTCGTGTGTGATGTCCTTGTCATATTCCCTGTTAAAGTTCCTTGCAACCTGGCGACAACTTCCCGGTCCAGCCATGAGAATGATTTCTATACATTCTGCTTATGACAGACACATTCTTAAATATCTATGTATGGAGTCTTGGACACCTTGTATATTATATCTAGAGTGTCGCATGTTGTAAATTTCTCATTATTAACATAATCTTTCAGCTTCCTCCGGAGCTCATGATGGTTTTAAAGCAAATGATGAACACTGAAACCATTAAAAAAAATGATTTTAATCCGTTGATTCTGTTTTCATTGAACGTGGAGGGAAAAGCAGGTACACATTCAGATATCCCAGATCGACGAACCTCAGTTCATAAATTGACTCGTGAAGATTATAACGAGATCAGTCCATTCCAGACTAAGCAGAAAAAGATTTGTGGATTTGATGACTCTGTTTCTCCTGAGTGTAGTGATAGAAAATCATTTGTATCAAAAAAAAAATACAGTGAGAGATGTAGATGAGAGTCAGTGGCATAGTGTACCTTGCAAAACAAAATCCACAGACAGCTTCAATGCATATGTAACAACGAAATTCACGTTTGATAGAGAAACTCATCAGTTGGTCAGTAGTGAACCCCAGGAGACCAGCTCACCTACTTCCCAAAATGTGTCCCTCTACCTCAACCTGAACCAAGGAGAAACGGAAACTGCTCGCAAAATCCTGATAAAAAAGTCGGCAGTGGTGATCTCGCATACCCGAAAAGCCCTCAAAACAACATTACTGGCCTTCATCAGCAAAATAAAGTGATCGTATACCCTCACAAGTGGGTATGTGAGGAGCTAAAACTAGGGAATCCCCTAAAGCTGAAAGTATTGAGGTATCAGCTAGCAAGTATCCCACATAGAAACGAAAGTTTGCCTTCAGCTAAAGCTTCTAGGTCAATTCAAGTGAGGGAATGCTGTCACCTGGTTCTGTCAGCAAAAATGTAATGCCAGGTTATACCATCCCCTGGCATTTACGACATTGTGTGACTGCAGGCATGGCATTTCGAGTCAGAGTGAAGAAATAAGTGCAGCCTTCAGTGCCTTCAGACAGTTTGAAAAATAAAAAGGAGAGGAATGTATCTATATCAGGCAATTTATCCAAAGACTGTAAACACTTTACCTTCTGCAGGCAACTAGAACATAGTGCAAAAAAACATGGCTTTTTCAAGCAGCCTATAGAGTGTGAAAGTTATGTTATAAATCCCTCTACAATTCATGAGAAATATGCATTTAACGTTATGGCTCCTGCTTGCAATTATCAGGCGAAGGAAAGCAACAAAATGACTTATTCAAGGGGTCGCTCCTTGGCTATATCTCAAAAAGTCTCGGAATTCTGAGACCTTTAGAATACAGCCCAGGGCAACACCTAACCAGCAGTATCATCAGCAACAGCAGCCTATAACAGAAAACAACCTCAGTTTTTCTACTTCTCCTGAATTTGATATCAAGATGCAGAGATCCCCGCAAATGCAGCAAAAATTACACAATCCTAATGGAAGTCAAGGAAAAAGTGAATCAAAAGTTAACTATGTAGGTTCCCCTGCCAGTTCGAGTCAATGTCTTCCATATGGTACAACAGTTGCTTTAGGTACGTAACTCTGTTGTGATGTGGTTTTTCAAATACTGATCATATAAAAGGATCATGTAACTGAGGTGATGCTATGAATTGTTTGCTCAATGCAGTTTGTTTACACAATAATGTATTTAGTTTTAATATTATATAATATACCTGATACTTCATAAAACACGCACAAAATATTTTACAGAGGAAAGTGGAGGTGGTGTATATCGGTACCCTGCCACAGCTGCCTCTCCAGAAAGGGGTTTATCTGTACAATGTAATGCCAACTTTCAGTTAAATACTGCGCATCCAGTCACATGTAAGTAAAATTACGAAGGTTGTTTTTTATATATAATGAATGTGTTGCCCTGAGTTCACTATATAGTGGATGTTGCACTGGCTGTGTTTGTCATGCTTCAAGAGTCGTACACTCCTTATTTCAGCCTGTCAGATTTCGTATAGTCAGTTCTCTGAACTCATCAGTAAGAACCGTCCTCAACTGCTGTGTGGACACAGGTAAAATGAGAGATTTGGTGTGGGAAAAGACACTTATGTACAGTTCAGGACATTTACTACAGGAAACGTTTCGCCACGAGTGACTTCTTCAGTTCTAAGGACTGAAGAAGTCACTCGTGGCGAAATGTTTCCTTTAATAAATGTCCTGAACTGTACATGAGTGTTGTTTTCCACATCTTGTCGGTATCACCATACCATTTCTTCACTGGGAGATGTGGTGTTGGCACTGTATGAAGCAGTTGGCTCATCATTCACCACTTCAGTACAATTTACCAGTGGTTTAGGTACTATTCTGGTCGTGTATTTGCCCAGAAGTACAGTAAATGTATTTCTTACCTGCAGTCTGCTTTATGGATCGCTTTCCTCAGAGAAATGCGAATCTGGGTAGCACTGTGTGAGCCATTGCTTGACCTGACAGTGCTTGCAGTGGGTGTCCCAGGCCCAAGGTCTGGGACACCCACAGACCCAAGGTCTTGTGTGTCCAGACCCAAGGTCTGGACACACAAGACGTCCCTGGAACTGGGTATTCCTCGAGAAACCCTCAAAAGGATTTAAAAGCCCAGAAGTGTGTGTATTCAAACTTCTGGGTCACCCTGTATTGTACAATGTGCGTTTAGTATATGGTGGACCTGATCATTCTCTGAGCTGTAGTGCAGAAAACAGGACTCGGGTCACTGTGAATGTTTATCAAACTTCACTGAACATACATCACAGAAGTTATTATTCATTTCCTATATAACAATTACTTTATTTAGCTTACAGTATGTACACTGTACTATATAAAGATAAAGAATGAAAAGTCACAATACCGTGACTGGAACAATACACAAATAACCCGCACATAGGAGAGAGAAAAAAAAATGACGACGTTTCGGTCCCACCTGGACCATTAACTAGTGTGTCCAGGTGATGGTCCAAGTCATCATAAGTTTATTTCTTATGTGCGGGCCACTACACAAGTGACCCCTCCCTCCCTCCCTCCCCCCCCGCCTCCCTCCCTCCCTCCCTCCCCCCCCCCGCCCTCTCGCCCCTCCCTCTCCCCGCCTCTCGCCCTCCCTCCCCCCGCCCTCCCTCCCTCCCTGACCAAGCATTCCAGAACCACCATATGCTGTATATGTCCTAAATTCTGCATAGAACTGAATAGTCCTGTTTAGGGTGAAGTGTCGTTAAATAATATAAAGTCTCTGACTTGTACATGATTGGATTCATGTTGTCCATTTGTTCCAGCTACTTACTGGAGTGTTATATCTTTATTATTATTATTATTATTATTGTTTTTATTATTATTATTTTACCTTTTTTATAGTCTGTCTTTCCATTTTAGTGTTAAGAGGATAGAGGGATAATCAGGGAGAACTTCAGCAGCTGGTTTCTCAGATTTTTAAGTGTTTTCACGTTAGTTATATAAGTTGGTCTTCATGTTTCTGGACTATGGTCTTTTATAGTCTGTTGGTCTATATCCAGGTGCCTTGTGCAATGAAAATGTCTGTCTTGTGTATTGATAATCTATTTTTTTTTACTGTAGACTATGTTGGAAGCATTAGGACGCGTTTTATTAAGATACTTTCTGTCCAGTGTTCACCCATCAGTAAAATGGGTGCATGGGAGTTAGTTGACTGGTGTGGGTCGCATCCTGGGACAAAATTGAACTAATTTGCGGGAAATGTTCAGCATAACAAGGGGCTTTCTATATATTAGTATGTCCTTGATGTCATCTAGGCCTGTATACCTTGTACATGTACTTGTAGAAATAAAGATTATATTATTATTATTATGCTACACTGCTCCATTATTCTGTTGTGTGTTTCGGTAAGTCATATTTCATCTGTTACTTACACCTACATTAAAAATACATTTTGTGAGCAGTGCCTTGTAGGAGTGTCTACTGTGACGCTGAAAAAAATTATGTTACCAGCTGATGTTACCACATGTTGACTCAGGATTAAATTCTTCAAGGGACCCATCCCGAGTCTACCTCATGAATTTTGGTGTTCTCTGATGAACATTTTGTCATTGCTTCTGCTGGCATGGATTTTGAACTTATTAGGCCCTGATCTACCGGGAGGCCTGGTTGAGGACCTGGCCTCAGGAGGGTTGACTAGCTCCTCCCTCATTCATTTAACCACACTTATTCCCTTCATTTTCCTCTGTCATGTTCAAAAATATTTTCCCCACACGTGTCTACCATCCCCACCTCAGCCTTGTTGAGCCGAATCTACCATCCCCCCCACCTCAGCCTTGTTGAGCCGAATCTACCATCCCCCCCACCTCAGCCTTGTTGAGCCGAATCTACCATCCCCCCCCACCTCAGCCCCTTTTTTGAGCCGAATCTTACCATCCCCCCCACCTCAGCCTTGTTGAGCCGAATCTACCATCCCCCCCACCTCAGCCTTGTTGAGCCGAATCTACCATCCCCCCAACCCCAGCCTTGTTGAGCCGAATCTACCATCCCCCCCACCTCAGCCTTGTTGAGCCCAATTTTACCATCCCCCCCCACCTCAGCCTTGTTGAGCCGAATCTACCATCCCCCCCACCTCAGCCTTGTTGAGCCGAATCTACCCCCCCACCTCAGCCTTGTTGAGCCGAATCTACCATCCCCCCACCTCAGCCTTGTTGAGCCGAATCTACCATCCCCCCCACCTCAGCCTTGTTGAGCCGAATCTACCATCCCCCCCCACCTCAGCCTTGTTGAGCCGAATCTACCATCCCCCCCACCTCAGCCTTGTTGAGCCGAATCTACCATCCCCCCCACCTCAGCCTTGTTGAGCCGAATCTACCATCCCCCCCCACCTCAGCCTTGTTGAGCCGAATCTACCATCCCCCCATTCAGCCTTGTTGAGCCGAATCTACCATCCCCCCACCTCAGCCTTGTTGAGCCGAATCTACCATCCCCCCACCTCAGCCTTGTTGAGCCGAATCTACCATCCCCCCCCACCTCAGCCTTGTTGAGCCGAATCTACCATCCCCCCCCACCTCAGCCTTGTTGAGCCGAATAACTCTCAGTACTTTACTGTTTTTCTAGAAATATATTAATAAAAAAATATATGCAGTAATTTTAGAAGAAATGTTTTTCCCATATTTCCATCCTTACCTATCTTCCTGCCCCCGTCTTACCAAACTTCTGGTTAGAATCGCCAGTGCTTATCAGTCAGCAGAATATACAAAAGGTCCCCAGTATACATATGCCTCAAGTAGCATATATCCTAGCATACAAATGCCTCAAGTAGCATATATCCTAGCATACAAATGCCTCAAGTAGCATATATCCTAGCATACAAACGCCTCAAGTAGCATATATCCTAGCATACAAATGCCTCAAGTAGCATATATCCTAGCATACAAATGCCTCAAGTAGCCTATGTATCCTAGCATACAAATGCCTCAAGTAGCATATATCCTAGCATACAAATGCCCCAAGTAGCCTATATATCCTAGCATACGAATGCCTCAAGTAGCATATATCCTGGCATACAAATGCCTCAAGTAGCATATATCTTAGCATACAAATGCCTCAAGTAGCATATATCCTAGCATACAAATTCCTCAAGTAACATATATCCTAGCATACAAATGCCTCAAGTAGCATATATCCTAGCATACAAATGCCTCAAGTAGCATATATCCTAGCATACAAATTCCTCAAGTAACATATATCCTAGCATACAAATGCCTCAAGTAACATATATCCTAGCACACAAATGCCTCAAGTAACATATATCCTAGCATACAAATTCCTCAAGTAACATATCCCAGCATACAAATGCCTCAAGTAACATATATCCCAGCATACAAATGGATCTCCAAGGACTCTACTAAAAGTCTAACAACCATTGTTTACAAAACATGTGAAACATAACGATGCTTTGCACTACTATATTAAGCAATTTTTTTTGTAATTTGAAAAGAAAACATAAGTTAACCTGTCTGTACAATGCAAAATTATTGTAGGATAAAATAAAAAAAATCGACCAAAAAAAATTTTTTTTCACTAACATTGTATTTTGTTATATTGAAATTTTTTTTGTAAATTCCAAAGGTACGTCAACCATGCCAGGTACAACGATACTCACTCACAACATGCTTGTGTGAAGCAGCTACGAGCCCCACTCAGACACTGAAGACGTAGACGAGACAGTCGTCTGCAAGAGGGAGAGACAAGTCTACAAGTGCCACTCTCTCAGTACTCAAGGAGGTAACTACCGCTAAAGTACTTTTTTGTTTTTGACTGGCTCCCATTTATCTGTGAAGAGGCGGGGCCAGGAGCTGAGTCTCGACCCCTGCAACCAAAATTAGGTGAGTACAAATTAGGTGAGTACACACACACACAAAAACAAACACACACACACACACACACACAGTATAGCTAGGTGGACAGACTACAGACCTCACTCAGGAGAAGCCTTGGGGTGACCATAACACCGAGCACGTCCCCGGGAGGCACAAAATCAACCAAATAACTGCTGCAGATACGGGCGCCGGGCAAACCTGAGAATAGCGTTCCGATACCTTAATAAGGAATCGTTCAAGACCCCTGTACACTGTGTATGTTAGGCCCATACTGGAGTATGCAGCACCAGTCTGGAACCCACACCTGGTCAAGCACGTCAAGAAGTTAGAGAAAGTACAAAGGTTGCAACAAGGCTAGTCCCAGAGCCAGGGGAATGTCGTACGAGAAAGGTTAAGGGAAATGGGGACTAAACGACATGGAGGACAAAGGGTCAGGGGAAAACATGATAAAGACATACAAGATACTGCGGGGAAATAGACAAGGGGACAGAGATAGGATGTTCCAGACAGGGGACACAGGGACAAGGGGTCACAACTGGAAGCTGAAGACTCAGGCGAGTCACAGGGACGTTAGGAAGTATTTCTTCGTCATAGATTTGGGTCAGCAAGTGAAAAAAGCCAAAGCAAGTGAAGTAGTGGAGGCAGGAAACCATACTAGTTTTAAGAAGAGGTAGGGACAAAGCTCAGGAAGCAGGAGAGAGGCCCAGTAGCGATCAGTGAAGAGGCGGGGCTAGGAGCTGAGTCTCGACCCCTGCAACCACAATTAGGTGAGTACAATTAGGCGAGTACACACACACACACACACACACACAGGGATTCGACCCCTGCAACCACAACTAGGCGAGTACACACACACACAACGCCTCAGAATATTGTTATGCATCTCGTGTACCCACCTCGTTACTCACTCATCTAGTCACTCACTCACCTAGTTAGTGACTCACTCACCTAGTCAGTGACTCACCTAGTCAGTGGCTCACTCACCTAGTCAGTGACTCGCCTAGTCAGTGACTCACATAGTCAGTGACTCACATAGTGATTCACATAGTCAGTGACTCACATAGTCAGTGACTCACATAGTGACTCATTCACCTAGTCAGTGACTCATTCACCTAGTCAGTGACTCATTCACCTAGTCAGTGACTCATTCACCTAGTCAGTGACTCACTCACCTAGTCAGTGACTCACTCACCTAGTCATGACTCACTCACCTACTCAGTGGTTTCACTCACCTACTCAGTGGCTCATCACCTACTCAGTGGCTCACTCACCTACTCAGTGGCTCACTCACCTACTCAGTGGCTCACCTAGTCAGTGACTCACTCACCTAGTCAGTGACTCACTCCCCTAGTCAGTGACTCACTCACCTAGTTGTGTTTTATAAGGGACCTAGTATTAGCTAGCAGACTGTATCTAGGGGAACCCAGTACGTGTTATGTTGTCTTCCTGACATCACAAGGTCACAACACAGTTGTAATTACTACTAAAACATCTCATTCACTATCTTCATATATACTGCAGTGATTAAAATTATAATTTTTTTTTTAAAAAGGGTGAACTGGTAACCCAGTGGAAAGGGAATCAGTCACATGATCAAAAGTTCTAGTAGCGGATCATATATAACTAAGTCCAGCGTCGGGAAACTCTTGTCCTGGTAAGACACATAGGCAACAGTTAGGCAACTTTTTTCCGAAACGTTTCGCCTACAAAAGTAGGCTTCTTCAGTCGAATACAGAAAGTAGACAGGAACAGTAGAGATGTGAAGACGATGTAATCAGTCCATCACCCTTGAAGTCGTAGAATTTGAGGTTGTCAGTCCCTCAGCCTGGAGAAGTTCAGTTCCATAGTCCTGACTACTGTTCCTGCCTACTTTCTGTATTCGACTGAAGAAGCCCACTGTGTAGGCGAAACGTTTCGGAAATAAAGTTGCCTAACTGTTGCCTATGTGTCTTACCTACCAACCTGTCGGTATTGTTTACCATTTTGATGTTCAACTCTTGTCCTGTTTCCTGACGAATCTTGCCTAACCTATATTCATTCCTACTCGTATCCCTTCAAGGGGCTCTTCAAACCCCAGGAAGTACAGCTACTCTCCCTTGCTGGGCTCACAGTCCTGACCACCTCCCATTCTTTCTCATGCTTCCTGACTCCCTACAAATTTAGCGCTTCCCCATGAATATAAGAATAGTGTTTGCGTTCCTCACTTCGGTCTGTTGTTTTACAAACAGGTTAGGTAAGGTTCGTCAGGGAACAGGACAAGTGTTTCCTGACGCGGGTCTTTGATAATGACCCAACCGTTGGAGCTTCTGGTCATCTGACCGAGGGCCCTTCCGCTGGCTTACCGCTCCCACCCCCTTTAAAAATTTATGGTCACAGTTATAACCATTTAATATTTCAATATTTTTTTAAAATGATTGGCGTGGCTACCTCCCCTGCACTATCATTTCTGGATGTTACAGTTAATTTAACCTATCATCACAATGCAGTTCCTTTATCTCAGGCAAACCAGGGAACGGGTGGGGTTTGAACCCATGGTAAGTCCTAAAGCTCACAGGCCAGTGCAAATTTAAAGATTGGACCAGTTGGCTCTAGAAATAATCCAACAAGGTATATTTCAATACACCGTAGGAAGGCTAGCATGGGCCACCATTGTGATTTATTTGCAATATTGTTATGACGACTCCATGAGTCAGTGTTCTGAAAATAAACCCCGCTGACAAATATCTGATTTCTTTCAAAAAAATTAAAATGCCCTTTTTTCGTTTAGATATTGATTTTCTTGATGCTACCAGTATTTTACTGGTCTCTTCCATACGATGTATATTAGTTGAAGCCTATCTGCTACACGAGTCTAAGGTTCAGTGTCGCCTGTACACCACCATCAATAATACTTGAAAACTGGATGTTACCAAACTGTGACTAGAAACTTTTACAAATAATTCACACTTAAGAGAGTTTATGAAGACGTTCAGATCTTTCCTGCACCTTGTCAAGTCACAACTAAGAGAAAATAAAGAAGGCCAGAAGACAAGTCGGGAGGAGGGATTCGGAGGGGAGAGGTAACAGCAGTATAGTTAGACATGTGCAACATCTGGATGTCTTTATTATAGATATCCAGATGTTACACATATGTCTAATTCTTCATGTTGTCGGTATTACCGTATTTTGCGGCTTATTAGACGCATTTTTTTTCCCTAAATTTTTTCCAAAAACACCATCGGGCTCTTATAAACTGAAGGTCAGTGGGCGGGAGCTATAAGTTTGGGGTGTGGAGTGGGTTGTAGCTCTTCCAGTTACGTCCGGTACCGAGCCATGGAAATAAGTAATATAAGCCGCAAAATACGGTATGTATCATTCGTGTACAACAGTAATAGTAACAGTAGTACTGGTGCTAGTAGTGACATTAGTAATATTTGTAATTTTAGGAGAAGTGATGGTAGTACTAGCAGAAGTAATAGTAGAGAGGGTAAAAGTAGTGAATCAATTGTTAATATTACTTATACAAAACATCAACAATCTGAGGAAACAAGACATGTTCAATACTTGTATATCTTACTGCTGTAACGTTTCACCTTCAGTAGAATACAGAGATGATTTTTTATAAGAACATAAGGCTTTTGACAGGGTCCCACATCAGAGACTATTGAGGAAAATTAAGGCACATGGAATAGGAGGAGAAATTTTTTCCTGATAGAGGTATGGTTGACAAATAGGCAGCAGAGAGTTGCATAAATGGGGAGAAATCAGAGTGGGGAAGCTTTCCGAGCGTGTTCCAAGGGGCAGTGTTGGGCCCCCCTGTTCACATTACAAAACGCATAGATGGGGAAAAAGAGCGACAAAAGCAGTTTCCCGATGACCCCAAAAAATGGGCCCGTCGAATTTTTTCTGACGAGGAATTAGAGCCTCCGGAAGTTTTGAGTAGACGATCAGGGGGGAGAGGGGGTTTTGGGTTTTCAGACAAAAATGCAAATTTTAAAATGTTGGACAGGCAATAACCATCCAAACCTGCAAAAAAGATTTAGGAGTTCTGGTTAGCAAAATCTAAGTGTTGCAATAAAGCTAATAGAACCCTTTGGGCTTTAATCAAAAAAGAAAATTGGAGTCCTCGGGTTTGTGTAAAGAAAAGGAAAAAGTAAACTAATTGACTTTATTGTGGAAAACGTTCGCCCCCGGAGAGCGAAACTCCCCAAAATAAATGTCACATTTTTCATTTTTGGGTCCTTTTATTTTTACTTTTTGTGGGTAATTCTATAACTTTTATTACTCCCATTTTCTTCAACCCCCCCTATACATCCTTGGTTAGGCCTCATTGATATGCGCACATTTTGGTCACCCTATTTCAGAATGGATATAAATGCCTGGAAAAAAGTACAAAGGGGTTGACAAAGTTGATCCCGTTTCAAAACCTTCCCTTGGGTAGACAAGGGGCCCCGAAACTTCATCTCTGAAAGACGTAGAAATTAGGGGGGGGTATGATTGAGGGGTTTTAAAAAGGGAAGACAGGAATAAAAAAAGGGGATGTAAATAGTGTGCTGAAAAAATCTGCTAAGGACTCGCAAAAATGGTTTTAGTTAGAAAATTCAGATTCGGAAGGATATGGAAAGTACTGGGTTTGGGAATAAGTTGGGGGATGGTGGAACAAAATCCCCAGTACAGTTATAGGGCCGAAAGTTTTGTACTTTAAAAAAAGGTTGGATAAAAAATGAGTGGGTGTGGGGAGGTGTGAGTTGGACTGATGCTTGGGGCCCACCAGGCGGTTTTCCCTGTTCCCCCTTAAACAAGGTGCCTGACCTGTGGTTTTG